AAGGAAGGAAGGAAGGAAGGAAGGAAGGAAGGAAGGAAGGAAGGAAGGAAGGAAGGAAGGAAGACACCTGGGTTACTCAAGGTTGGGAAACATTGACTTATGGCAACATGCAAGCCATGGTCATATGTGGCCTCAGGATTGTTTTGGGGATGTGTCCCCAAGACCCTCCCCCCAGTCATATGACAAAATTCGGCAGCAAACTGGAGAAAGCAGTTCAGAAAGGAGATAAGTATTGCTTTAAATGAATTTTTGTAATGTGCCAACAAAATCCATTAAATCATGCAGGAAATACTTGTTTTAAGAACGCTTCCAGCACTGCTGCCAAATCTCAGTAGATGGGAGTGGGTTGATGCTCTGCAGTGAATCACAAAGGGAAGAACTACATCCTGGACCGAAAGCTGCTCACTGATCTTTGCAAATATCACTAAGTATAGCAGGATAATAATAGTAGTAGCTTCTATGTTGTACTTTCGAAACATTTATCATGCATTATCTTCCTGTAATCCTTAAAACAACTCTGGATAAAAGTCAGCAGTATCGTAATGTTTAAGACCACACAGTGAATTCATGGCAGTGACAAGATTCAGACCAGCAGTTTCATTATTTTCTTGGACCACCATTTGAAAATGTTTAGGATGATGGCAGAGGGAAGACCTTCATGTGGATACAACTGTACTACAGACGGTATTCCAGTTGACAGGAGCTCCCCAAGCAGAGTGATCTGGGATAGAGCAGGGGCTAAATGGAATTGGACTCGATTCTTCTAGTTGAAGGTCTTTTCACTGAGTGGAGAAGGCTTAAGACCATTCTTCGTCCTTCTTGGAACTGGTGAAATTAATCACCCTCCTTCCTTTAGAACCAACAGGTGAGATTTTTAAAAGATCAGTGGAGAAGCAAAGCAGGTTATGTCCTTTCCCTCATCTCTTTCCTTGATCAGCATAAGTTGGCATGGATTTGGAATCAAGCACTGGTCAGTCATCTGTCCGCTTATGCCCCCCCCCTTAAGCCTACACAATTACTGTTCCGTGACTGAAAGTCTCAATTCTTCATCCTCTTAAGCCTCCTCCTTCTATTCTATGTAGCCGCTTACATCATCATGCTCTCCATCCATCAGGCAGGAAGGCTTGGCTTTCTTTTTGATCCTACCTCTCCTTTGCTGTCTATATTGAAGCCAGTACTCTGTTTAGTGCCACACGGAGTGAACATGGTGCTTTATTATTATTGATAGTAGTAGGGGTGGTAGGTAATAAATACAACACCTTGTAAATGACGACAAGGAGGAGGATGCCTTTCATACCAGGAACGAGTAACTGAAAATACTTTAATTTTTCCAATGGAAGCTTCTTCGGGAGAATGATTCGTCGTATTATGCCATTCGAAAGCAAATTCTT